CGAGCAAAACACCGGAGTGTATTCAACACAGAAACTCACTGAAGTGCTGTTTTTGATGAGTTTTGAACATTTTGGGTTTGTTAATTTGCTTCCAGTCGCAATCATTCCTCTGACTTGCCGGTTGCAACTTTTGCGAGGCGTGACCTCTGGGGTGGCAACCTTTCAGGGAATAGGGTTGACCCAAAAGAAACCCTATTCCCGAAAAGTATACCAGTCCAGAGGCTGTACCAAATAAAATTTGCAAAATTTTACTTGGGTAACTTCTTGCATGGCAATCTGTGGAAGAGATTTTCTTAAAGATTTGTTTTATCTTGCCTGTTTCTGGTTTTTTGAAGGTTGCCTTTCTAAGTGCCTGGTGGTTTCGGTCGCTCTGGTGTGTTGGATCGAAGTAGTGAGACCTTTTGCTGGCAAATGTTAAAAGACCTTTTCCTTTTGAGTGCAACAATTTTGACTTGTTGCAGTGTCGGGTTAAGACCTGGACTTGCACACACCTCTTTACCTTCGAAAAAGGATTGTTTTTCACTTGGATCGGACCAAAGGCAGTGTGGTCTGGCTTGGCCTCAGCTCAAAACTTGTTAAAAAGCCAGGTCTTAAGCCATCCGATCCAAATTCAAAACAATCAATCGTCCAATGCCAGACCCAACACTGCTTCAAGTCAAAGTTTTGCACTTAAAGAAAGGGTCAATATTTGGCAAAGCAAAAAAACGACATAAAGAGTGGTGCCAAGTGTGTGTTTTCAGCTGCCATTTCTTGATCTTTAAAAAATTTGCACCAAAAGTTCGGTTCGAAGACAATTTTAAAAAGAGAAGGTATGGGTCCCAAAAAGAGACAGCAAAAATCAAGCGAAAAGCAGAGAAAGTCTCATTTACAGGCGGTGGTGGTGTGGGTGTGTGTGTGTGTGTGCTGTGGGATGTGGTGAGTGCAAAAAGGCAGAGGCTCAGGTAACTTCCGCAGCAAAGCCTTGGCAGGTCTGTGGTGTTGGTGTTGGTGAAGTCGGAGCATCAGTTGTGCACAGGTGGTGGTGGGTTGCACATTGTGCAGTGTTTGCAAGTGTGTGGAAATGTGTGATGTGGTGTGTGAGTGTGAGGTGAGACAGAATGGGTGGAGGTGTGCAAGCGAAAAACGCGAGGTGAGTTTGAATGAAGGGCAGCAATTCAAGTGTTTTTTGGGGGGGCTGCTTTTGAGCCCCAAAACTGTGTTTGAATTGGGGCCGCTTGAAAGGGCCTCCACAGTGCAGAACAAATTGCTGGACAACCTATAAAGAGAGCCATTTTTGTAAGCTGATCAAGGCATGGTCCTTACTTGTGCAGAGCACGGAAGCAGCTAAAAACAGCAAGTTCTTGCCAAGCTGCTGATGGATAGAATGCAGCTCATGTGCAAGTGGTCATGACTCTGTGGAATGTGGTAAATTGGCTGAAAATTGGGATTCTTTATAAGATTTTGAGGGCCCAAAAATGAACCCCGAAAAATAGACACCAAAATGCCAAAATGCGTCACCAAAAATAGGCTCCGTAATTTGAGCTTGAGGTGGAGCCACGCAAGGCAAATTAGATCAGGGAGCCAAAAGTGATGCCAAAAAATGGGGCCTGTTTTTGGGCCCGGATTTTTGCAAGAAGGGGCCCAAAAAACGTCCCCGTTTTTGGGCCCCATTTTTCCGGCCCACAGTTCGGATGGGCATTGAACCTTGAGTGCAATGCTCATCAGTGTTGCTGGGCATTTTCGGTCACGCTGCCAGCGTTTCATCCTTGCTCAGACCTGGTAATCTTGAATGCAGACTCACTGCAGAGAAGTGCAGCCAACATGTGGCAGTGTGGCCCTGTAAGTTGCGTGAACTCAAGTAACAACGGCTTGCAACTGGCAACTGTGGAGGCCCGTTCTGCGGGACCGTTTCGTGTGGCTTTTTTGGGCTCAGAAATGGGCCCCGGAAAAGCCTCCCCTTGCACCCCCACGTCCGTGATTGATTTTGCTTGAAATAAGCATTTTTGAAAGTCTCTGACAGTGCCGTTTGGACAGAAATCAACTGCAGGACGAGACGAGTTCAGCTGTGGTGTTGATGCCGCAATGTTGCGCGCGACGCCCGAACCCAACCGTTCGAAATTTGCAAAGTGTCTTACCAAAATGTGAATAAGTGCGAGCGCAGCGAGCAAAACACCGGAGTGTATTCAACACAGAAACTCACTGAAGTGCTGTTTTTGATGAGTTTTGAACATTTTGGGTTTGTTAATTTGCTTCCAGTCGCAATCATTCCTCTGACTTGCCGGTTGCAACTTTTGCGAGGCGTGACCTCTGGGGTGGCAACCTTTCAGGGAATAGGGTTGACCCAAAAGAAACCCTATTCCCGAAAAGTATACCAGTCCAGAGGCTGTACCAAATAAAATTTGCAAAATTTTACTTGGGTAACTTCTTGCATGGCAATCTGTGGAAGAGATTTTCTTAAAGATTTGTTTTATCTTGCCTGTTTCTGGTTTTTTGAAGGTTGCCTTTCTAAGTGCCTGGTGGTTTCGGTCGCTCTGGTGTGTTGGATCAGAGTAGTGAGACCTTTTGCTGGCAAATGTTAAAAGACCTTTTCCTTTTGAGTGCAAAAATTTTGACTTGTTGCAGTGTCGGGTTAAGACCTGGACTTGCACACACCTCTTTACCTTCGAAAAAGGATTGTTTTTCACTTGGATCGGACCAAAGGCAGTGTGGTCTGGCTTGGCCTCGCTCAAAACTTGTGAAAAAGCCAGGTCTTAAGCCATCCGATCCAAATTCAAAACAATCAATCGTCCAATGCCAGACCCAACACTGCTTCAAGTCAAAGTTTTGCACTTAAAGAAAGGGCTTCGTACTCTTGAGTACAAACCTTTATTTTGAGAGAAAATTTTTCACCATGAAATGCGTGAGAAATTTTTGGCTCAGCCCGAGAGGGCACTGAGAGTCAGACGAGCAGATTAAAAAGCCCAACCGGGTTGAGCCTCAACAGGTTCGTCTTTCAACGGGCCTCGTGACGAACTGCATTCGAGCCATGCCAGGTTGCCCCGAGCTAAAGAGAGCATTTGTGTCCTCAGCTGGAAGACACTCCATGTTGTGTTACGGTTCTGACCTGTGTTTCAGGTGAGCAGTAGTGTATTCCGTTCTTCTGGGAGCTCCAGACTGCAGGGCACCTCAGTGTGACTGAACGAGCCCACTGTGCTTATTGGGTGTGTCTGCACCCTGGTCGGTTTTGTCATGTTATGTTAGTGACTCGGAGTGCATGGTGAACGAGCATGCCGAGAAGTTTGCACCTCAGTGTGATTGCGCCAGTCTCATGCTGTGGCCAATTGTACTGTTGTTTTTCTGAAGGACTTTGCGAGACAGTATGGAGCACATGCGAGGAGAGACCATGGCAGTTGTCAGACCACGCCAGGCATTTGTGCATTGCCTCATGTAAGACATGTTCATAACTTCACCATGCATTTGGGTACTTGCTGCCAGTGCTGTTACCCTCTCGTTTTCTTATCTCAAGATTTTGGTCCGAGAACCTGTTAAACCCATGCCATGGCATTACATGCTGCAGCTCTCGATCACATGCGTGAAGGTTTGACGGAGTTTCTGCAGGAACAGGTTCTGGAGGATTTTGGCATGCTTGACCCCAAGGGATTTGGATTCACGGAGAAGCAGTGGCAGGCCAGACTCGCCAGGCTCGTCGATCGTGCCCACCACAGAGTTCACAGATGTGGCACACCCGAGGCCCTCGTCAGTCTTGCGTTGCAAGACCTAAAAGGTGAACTCCTCCAGGCCTTCTTACATTTGTATGTTGAAGACCCAAATCCTCCTCATCATCTTCCTTGGTCTGCAGTCATAGCAACGGTGTGGCCTCAACATGAAACCACAGATGATGCACCCCCATGGACTGAACAGGTGCGTAGAGCGGATGGTGAATTCGAATCTTTTGTTCACCAGGAGTTTGCTCTAGATATTTCCAACCCTGGGTCAAGCACCACAGGGACGCACGATCCGAATGCGTGCATCAGTGAGACTGTTACGGAAAACCACAGCCTCTGGCGTCTACAGGCGAATCCAGGTGGCTGCATTGACATTGATTGAGTTATTGCATAACTGAAAACAAGGTGGAGTGTGCTTGCTGCTGCATGTCGGTAGGAATATCAAGGTGCCGCCACCTCAGTGTCCAGCTTGGAATGTTGCAAGGGATATCTGAGAGTTGACCGTAGGTCCAGTCTTCACACTCAAAGGGATGGGAGCATTTGCTTGTTGGGAACTGAGTGTGGCTAGGGTTTGGTTGACAGCACCAGTATCTTGTCATCTGTGCAGGAGAACAGCATGGATGCTCGGCCCCCTTGCTGGAGTGTACGCAATAGATTTACGATGTCGACAAGGGTCGACCATCTAGGGAAGGCTCTCACAGAGAGAGAACCACATCAATAGGGCAGAGGCCCCAGTCCAAAGGGACTTAGCGAGCCACTGACGAATGAGAAGGAAAATCAGATGACAACAAACTCTGACAGTCTAAGTCTTGTTGCATCGACCTGTGTTTAGCTCAGCATGTTTCAGTTGTATCTCCCTCGGCTCGAGCGTTCCACAGGGAACCAACAGGATCGACAAGGGTCGGATCTCAGGGCAAAGGCCCTTAAAAAGAGAGTGGCACATCAAGAGGGCGAAGGCCCCAGTCCGAAAGGACTCAAGAATCATGTGGCCGATGATGCCATTTGGGTACGGACCCAACGTGCCAGCCCCCAGTCAGCCCAAAGAAAGCAGAAGGGGGAGGCGACGCAGGAGCAGCAGCTCCAGCGACGAGCCGAGGAGGCGTCGCTCAAGAAGCCGACGAGGTCGAAGAGACCATGACAGGGGAAGCCCCTCCCAGGCCTCGTCTTCCGTGGCACAGGGGATGATTCAGGTGGATGTCAATCATTACACCGCCCTGGTGACCCAAGCGGCGCAGGCCCAAGCTGCGGCAGGCCATGGCAGCGGTGACGGCCCCCCCGCACACTGCGGCGACACTGCCAGTGTCCTACGGCTCTAAGGCTCAGAGCCAGTGGACGGCCAAGGATTCGTGGCAGTCCGACAAGTGGAAGGGCCAATCCTGGAAGCAGGGTGATTGGCAGCAAAAGAACAGGTGGCCACAGAAGAAAGGGGGCGGAGACAAGGAGAAGTGGCCAAAGGGCTGGAACAAATGGGAGCGCGATGAGAAAGCCCCGGGAGAAGGGCAGGCGGCAACGTCTGGGATTCCCCTGACCTTTGGGCGGTCCTCGACCGACCCATTGGACCTGCCGGATGCAGAAGAGGCCACGGAGGAGGACCTGGCCCGTCAGGCCCAGCGGGACGTTGAAAGGGAAGACCAAGCCTACTCGGCATCAGTTTGGAAGGATGCCATCGAGCGGGCGCACCTCTCAGCGGATCGTCCCCCGAGTGCCAGGGAATTGGTCCAGATGGGGCGGATCAAAGACTCTTGGAGCATGACCTGGACCCAGGCGCGCGGAGAGGTATCGGCAGACTCAGTGGAAGCCTGCAAAAAGGCCCTGAACGAGGTCGCCATCTCCATGCCCGACCAGACCTTCCACAGGCTTGCAGCGGTGCTCGCAGCCTTCTTGGATGGAGGAAGATCCCCCATGGTGAGGACGGCAAACTGCGTGCCATGCGCACCCGCATGCCGGGAGCAGAAGGGATCATCGTGTCGACCATGATCACCGGCCCCAGTTATGCCAAGTGTGAAGATCATCGGCATGACCTGGTCATGGCCCACGGCACCGGCTTTGTCCACGCGGTGGGCATCGGGCTTCACGGAGAGGTGTGCCCGAATGACTCCAAGCCGGACGACTACCCAAGCTTTGGGTTCAGTGGAAGGGGGACGCTGGAGGCGCCGGACCCTTCCACCATCGAGGCGGCCTTTCAAAAAACGGCCGCCCATTCCAAAGGCCAACAGGGCGTCATTTTCGTGTACCAGGGCGAGCTGGAGAAGCCCACCCACACAACCGAAGGTGGGGTGGCGGTCATGATGGCGGCCGTCAAAGACGTGGGCTCCGCACGCAGCGGACAACACATCATCCTCCACCCCAAGCACGCGATTTTGCGCGCCATCGGCTGCACGTGGCCGGCCTAGATGCAGAGCCCCAGAACTTGGGCGCCAACGAGGGGTGTGTTTCCAGCCATGACAAGATCTGGCTGTTGAACAGTTTTGAAGCGAGGTGCACAGATGTTTGGAAAATAAGGGGTCGGGGTCAGCCTTGTTGTCACCCCCCCCACCCCTCCGACAGTTGCAGATCTCCAGACCCAGTGAAGGTTCAGCTCATGCGGCTGACATAATTGTGTCTCTTGAGTTGGCTTGCAGCATGAGAGCCCTAGATGTCCCGTCGGATAGCGACTCCGATGAGGCGATTGCGCCGGCCCTACCTGTCCAGGCTACACAAGACGGGGTGAGTGAGCATGTCATAGTTGAACAGGCAACTTTGCCCGTCATCAGACTGCCCTGGGAGTCGGGAGTTTTTCAAGAGATTTTTGCCAGGCCGTCGATCATAAGCGATGACCTGCCCACCCCCACCATGTATGGTCAAGCTGAACTTCAACTGAGGGAGATCTCAGCGCAACAGTCGGTCAAGCGCCAGTGCCGAGTAGTCACACCTGACAAGGCCATTTTCTTGCAGGCAGTCAGGCGCAAACCCGACAGAGACTTCGACGAGAAGTGTGAATACGTCTGGGGCCGAGCTGTCAAACTCTGGCTGACGCTCATGTTAGCGTCACCTTCAGCCGGTAAGTTTGTCCAAAGTGTGTGCAGCATGGATGAGGAGGAAGCTCTCTCATCTATTAGAGATGTATTTGGCGTTAAGTCACCCCATACTGCACTGAAACGAGCCACATCTCTTGTCAGATTCATGAAGTGGCTGAGACCAGGAGTAGACAGTCACGAGCCGCTCATGCCTCCGGAGCCGGTTCTTTACGCCTTCCTGAAGGAGCTGACCTGCAGGTCAACAGGGAAGCTGGCAGCTCTCGGGACGGTCCAAGCTTTGCGCCTAGCCCAGCATGTTCTAAGATGTCACAACTTGGAGGCGGTTCTGTCACCACGAGTGGTGGGTGCAGCAGACCGTTCTGCAGGTGAGCACTTGCCTCAAAACCAGGCTCGTGACTTGACGGTTAGTGAAGTGCGACAGGTGGAAGAGGCCATACGCGCACAGGACGCCGACCCGATCGACAGATTTGCTGCAGGGGTCATGTGCTTCCAGCTGTTCGCACGGAACCGCTGGAGTGATGTAGCGTGCATTGACAGCCTTTCCTTCGATGTCACAGAAGTTGCTGGACGACCTGTCGGCTACGTAGAAGCCAGGGCACGCCATGTCAAACAGAGCAGCCAAGCGAAGAAAAAGAAGGCGTTGTTCATGCCGTTGGTGGCACCTATTCAGGGAGTCAGCCCCGACTTCTCTTGGGCGCTTGAGTGGCGTCATGCTGCTCAGTTAGCAGGCATTGATCTGACAAAGCGACCGCTTGGGGCACTGCTCCCGGCACCGGGACCAGAGGGGTCCTTCCTCAGACGACACATAGACACAGCTGAGGCGTCGGACTGGCTGCATGGACTGCTCTTGAGGAGTGATCCCACCCGACAGCGCACCACGTCGCACTGTCTCAAGCACACGGTGCTGGGCTGGCTTAGTAGGTTTGGGATCCACGGTGAGACGCAGACCCTGCTAGCGCACCATAGCACAGGGCCCATGAGCGACCTAGCTTACTCTCGGGATGCGCTGAGTGGACCGATTCGCCAATTGGAACAGATGCTCCAACAGATACGTGAAGGGTCATTTCTTCCTGACGCTACCAGGAGTGGCTATTTTGTCAGGGAGACTGTTAGCGAGGCAGCTCCGTCCTGGAGCATGGTCAGTGAGTCACCAACTCTGGCCCGTCCGATGCCAACAACATGGGAAGGCCCCGACCGCATGGAGCAGGCCAGCGTCGAAGGGGAGGAGCAGCATGGAGCAAGTCCAACAGGGACTTCCCTGTTTGGCACCAACTTCCGGAAGCGATGGCTTCTCATGGAGGGGACAAAGCGCAGCTTGGGACCGCAAAAAGTGAAGCCCACAGCGGAAGGTGACATCCGAGACCACAGCCCAGAGGCGGTTGTGGAGGTGGATGTGGCCAACGGGTCATTTCAGCAGCCTGGAATTACAGAATCTGGCGAAGCACCAGAAGACGAGAAGGATACGGTTTGCTCGGGGGCCGGCCTCGTGGCAACTGATGTCTTATCCCCCGTCTCCAGCTCTGACTCAGACACCGCGAGCTCCACGTCCATGGAAGAGGAGACGTGTGACCAAGCCCTCCCCGACGGCTTTGAGGCACTGCGAAACGTCAAATCGACAGTTGTGCACCTGCACAGGCCAGGTGCGGTGTCTCTGAAGTGTGGTCCGGTTGTGACAGAGAACTTCTCTCGAGTATCCCATACTCTTGAAGGTTCAGTTTTGTGTAAGCGATGTTTTGCACAGGCATGATGGGTAAAACAAAGAGTGACAGAGGGATGTGCATCAGTGTCTGAGAAGCTTCACGTCGCCTCCCCGAGCTCTTGCCCGGGCCCGAGGTCAGAAATAGTGTCTGTCGAGCAATGGCTAGCGCAGCAGACCTTCAAGGAACATGCGGCCAGAGTAGGTATGGCTGAGGACGTGATAAACAAGCTAGTTGCACAAGGGATCAAGACGGTCAGCCAGGCAGCTTATGCAGCGTCTCCGCCAGGACAACCGTTGACAGACGCATCGGTTGAAGCCCTCTTGACGAAGATAGGTGCTGCCAACCCGACTCTGGCGTTGGTGACCCAGGCAAAGCGGCTCCTCTTCGAGTCGCAGACCATGGCCTTGTCTCATTTGAAGTCGGTCGTAGAACAGAAACCGGAATCGATCGCTCGGCACATGCCTGGAGCTGAGCGCCATCAAAGGATGACGTGTCAGGCGACCAGGCTGGCGGGCATTGAGATCAAGAACGACCTAGAACCGGCTCACTCCGTGTACGATGTCATAGCAACGATGGTTGAGCACAGCTCCATCAAGTACCTGCACCCGTCGAAGATTCCGACTCGTCAGCAGGAACTGTCCCAAACGAAAGGGACTAAGGAGCTGGCGCTTGATACGTCAGGAGCCAGCCTCACCATCACGGAGAAGGCTTCCTCGGCGCAAGCAAAACTGGGCACGGAAATGGCAACCTACCGCGCCATGCAGAGGCGTGGCTTAGCCTTCGACTTGGTAGGGATCCTCAGCTACAAGGTCCACGAGAAGTGGTTGCAGAAGGCATTCAGCCGGCTGCAAGACCCGGCGATACCAGGTTACGCCCCAGTTTCCCTTGCCCAGGTCCTTAGGGCAGACAAGGCCCTCTGGCTGGTACTCGCCCAGACGAGCGTCAAACTCGAACGGGCAGCACCAAACGCGGACTTGGCGACTCCTCGATGCCTGGACGATGCCTTCACAAAGGCCATGGAAGCAGCGGAAGTTAGCTTCCCGCTCCTGCCTCTGCCAGCGAATGCGGAGGCGATCTTTCCTGGAAAAGGCAAAGGCAAGGGTTTCGGTGGCTGGAAGCGGCAGCTTCCATGGGACGGCAAGGCTGGTCAGCCGCAAAAACTTGCAAGATCCGAGTTCTGGGGAAAAGGAAGGAAAGGGAAAGAGAAGGGTGGCAAGAACCATGGCGGGGGCAAGGACCCGTGGGGTTCTAAAGAGGGTCGTCGCTGGAACCAGTGGACGCGGGAAGGCAAAGGATCGCAGACGCCTATGCCTTTCAAGCTGAGAGGTGGTGTGGCTGTTACACCCCAAGGCGAGCCTATATGCTTCGGCGCCAACCTCGGTGAATGCCAGGACGCGCCGTTGGGAGGCAAATGTGCTAAGGGCTGGCACGTGTGCTGCCGACCCAATTGCTTCGGCAAGCATGCATTCATTGACCACCCAGGCAAGAAGGCCTGAGGGGCGATCATGCCGCCTGCTGTCGCGGATGATGACGCTTCGGCGTCGGAGAGCGATAGCAGCTTCCCGACCAAGGTGCAGCAGTGGGGTCAGGGAGCCTTGCCGGTTGTCAGTGCCTCAGACAAAGCTGCAGATTTTGATTCAGGCAAACCTGCGATTTTCGACTCAATGTGTCACACTTCGGCCAACTCAAGTGCTGGAGAGGCGCCCGACTGGAACTTACACGAGGGTGTCACGAACAGTTTCTCTTCCAAGCAATTTTCAGCTCCCATTGAGGAGAGCTCGTTAGTTCATATCAACGGTTCTGCGGTGGATAGTTTGGCAACGCCAGACAACTTGTCCGCTGATCAGCAACCAGCCAGCGATGCGACACACTCGCAGTGTGGGGGCCTGTCGTCGGGCGCGAAGCACATGCAGGAGTTTTGGTGTCTGGAGCTGTTCGCGGGCTCAGCTGGGATTACCGCCGCTATGGTGGCAGCTGGTCTCACAAAGAGCTTCGGTGTAGAATTCTCTCTGCGGCACGACCGCAAGGCGAAGGTACTTCGACTTGACATGCTCAAACCGCAATGCCAGAGCATGATCCTTAGGTGGACAAGATCACCAGGCTTGGCCTTGGTGTGGATGACACCCCCCCTCGGTACCAGCTCAGGGCAAGGGAGCTGCCAGGACCCCAGAACTCAGCGCTGCTTAGGGATGCCTGGCACCCGGAAGGGGTGCCGACCCTGAAGGACGACGAGCTGCGTAAGGTTCAAGCAGCAAACCAGCTTTTCGGCTTCAGTGCGACAGTATGGCAATTGTGCTGCAGCCTGGGCATCATGTGTGTTATACAGAACCCGAACCGCAGTTGGATGTGGTTCAGCCAGGAAATGGTTGGTGTCTTGAGCATGGGATGCACCAAGGTGCTCGAAAGCCATGCATGCATGTTCGGCGCTGGACATAAAAAGCGCATGGCACTGGCAGTGAACACCGGCGCGTTCGATGCGCTTGCCCGTGAATGTGACGGGGCACACGAGCACGAGCAATGGAAGGACGAGCACGGTATCACTCATGGATCTGAGGAGACTCTGCACCCAAGCGGACTCTGCAAGGCGGCTGCCCAGTGTGCAATAGGAGCCCTGCTCAAACAAGGTTTGTTGCCAGCGCCCCAGCAGACTGTCCAGTCAAGGAGCAGTTTGCCCTCAATGGCTTCACTGACTGCAGGCAACCGGACCAAACGAGCAGCAGCCCAAAGGCTTGTCCCTGAATTCAAGGCCCAGTTCAAATCCAGGACAGCGAACTTGCTGACCAGCAAGGGGTGGCACCCAGCGACAGCTCTCTGCCGACGGCCGCAATGGCTGCCCGCATCTCAGGAGGTTTTGATCAGCCCTCTGTCGGAGGACCACGAGGTCTACGTCTCTGTTCCCTGGACGTGTCAGGAGTTTTGTGCACAGGCGCGCAAGGTGGGTCACCCGAGTCATCTTGATTTGGGGCTTTCCGATCCTCTCAAGCGTACCATCGAACAGGTGGCTGCGGAGTCCCCCAGTTGCGTTATGCAGATTAGGGTACAACAGTGCAAGAGGTGGGCGCAGCGGGCTCAGGCATTGGAGGCCCAGGAAAGGCTTGCCAAACAGGCCCTGCCTAAGCATATCCGGGACTCACTCCGCAGCAAACGCATTCTTCTCTTTCAGGAAATGTTGAGTGCGTCAGCATATCCTGATAAAGCTATCGGAGAGGACTTCCTGAAAGGTTTTCCCTTGACGGGGAGCCTCCCCCTACCGGAAGGCTGGGAACCGGACGTTCGCCCAGCACTCATGACAGATGCGGATCTGAGTGCACTCCACTGCGACAACAATGACAAGATTATACAAGAAGTCGTCCAGAACAGCAGATTCGTTCAGGAACTATGGGATAAGTCCATCCAGGAAAGAGACAAGGGATGGTCACAAGGTCCTTACCGCTTGGCTGACCTACCCGAGGACGCGCTGATCAGCAAGAGGTTTGGAATCCAACAAGGCCACAAACTCAGGCCGATCGACGACCTGAGCCAGAGCCTTATCAACATGGCCTTTGAATCGCACGGGAAAGTTCATGTTCATGATGCAGACGTCATCACAGCGGCACTGCTGATGTTTCGCCGACTGCACAAGGGCAAGGTTTTTGGCAAAACGTTGGATCTCAAGGCGGCCTACCGCCAACTACCCCTGGAGGAGCAGGCGCTCGACAAAGCCTTCATCGCAGTCAAGTGCCCTGAAACAGGTGAGGTAGTGTTTTTCAGGCTTCTGTGCCTGCCTTTCGGGGCCACGGCAGCTGTACACTCCTTCATCAGAGTCTCCCTCGCCTTGTGCCACATAGGGAACGTCCTTTTTCGACTGCCTATGACCGCCTACTACGATGATTTCACTCTTTTCAGCAGCGAGGAACTTCGTAACTCCACCTCGGCCACCGTCGACATCATGTTTTCCCTGTTAGGTTTCGATTTTGACCGAGACGGTGATAAGGCACAGGACCTGCACACGACTTTCCGAGCACTTGGTGTGCAATTTTCGTGCCTGGAGGACGAGGATCGGACCGTTCTTGTGTCAAATACAGAAGAAAGGCTTGAAGATGCAGTGGAAAAGATTCAGGACATCATCGAATCGGGTTCACTCACCCCAAAGTTGTGGGCGAAAATGCGCGGTCGTTTGGGTTTCATGAGCGGACAAATTGCCGGCAGACTTCCACGAGCGTTGCTGAGGGCAGTGACCGTGGCCGTGTCAACTGCAGGGACCAACCGCGGGGAAGTAGCCACGGCCCTACAGAGAGTGTTGGAGTTCTTGAAAGGTGCGCAACCAAGGCGGCTCAGACCGGCGCTACGAGACGTCATCTTTGTTTACACTGATGCATCGCAAGAGGGAGTAGACAACCTTGATATGGGGCTTGGTGCAGTGGTCCAGGACCACGAGGGAACAATCTTGGGGTGGTTTGGTCTGTTGCTCCCCCGTGACGTTGCTGAGGATCTCCTGCGTGAAGGGAAGAAGTGCATCAATGAGTTAGAAAGTCTAACTGTAGCACTGACTGTTCGTCTTTGCGCGGCCATACTGCTACAGCGGCACGTGGTATTCTATCTCGATAACGAGGCAGCCAGAGTGACATTGCTTCGGATGCAAAGTGAGAATGCCATGCTTGATGCGGTGGCCAAAATCTCAGCTGTCCACGAATCCGAACTGTCCTGCATTCCATGGTATGCACGGGTACCGTCACGCAGCAACATAGCTGATGCGCCGAGTCGCTGTTGTTTCCTGGGTCTGCCCAGCTCCTGCAGGATCAAGGACGACGTTACTGTGGAAGCATTACGTGAGGTACTACGTCAGGCACATCGCTTTGTTGCCCAGACTACTTGACCGAGGAAGGGATTTCTGTCTTCTTTTCTCCCCTTACCTAGGAGGGGTTTTTCGTGTTTTTGTACCCAGGAGACAGAAGACCTGCATAATGGACAGGTGGTCGATTCTGTACCCTTCCTCGGAAAAAGAGCTTGAATGGAGTGACTAAAGGAAATGAATATTCGAGATGATGGAATACATTCATGGATGAATTTGGGAACAAAATAAGGGCTTCGTACTCTTGAGTACAAACCTTTATTTTGAGAGAAAATTTTTCACCATGAAATGCGTGAGAAATTTTTGGCTCAGCCCGAGAGGGCACTGAGAGTCAGACGAGCAGATTAAAAAGCCCCGCCCACCCACCCAGCAGTGAAGGTGGGATGCTGTTGCGGAAGGACAGCCAGCCCGGTGCCTGACTCTCCCATCCCGAGCCTGCAGCGCAGCGGCCCGAGCTAGTGCAGCCTGAGTTGCAATGGACGCGCCCCCTAGGATCACGGCCCTGCAGATGAGAGCCTTCGAGATTTGGGTTCGTACATTGAGCATGGACCAGATCATCATGCTGGCCGAGCGCATCGAGGACGTCTTGGCAGATAGAGAGGTAGAGATCCGCGAGCGATTGCAGGCCAGGCGTAACCTGTTGAACGCTACACTTTCAACAGCTGCGAGCTCATCTTCCACGCCGCAAGAAGCCCAGCCTAGTGAGCCACGTCCGAGTTCTTCGTCTCGTGACCAGTCTTGGGAATTCCTTGACCCACAGTAGTCACAATCCCTCCTGACGGTCAGGCCCGCTGACGACGACCATGAGTGTAAAAGATGGTTCTGCGGTTCAACACACTCTATGTGCTGCATTGCCCCTTGTCAGTGACAGCGAAACCTGCCTCAGCTCAACAAGTGCTCCACCGTCGGTCGGCCGCGGGCTCAAACTGCACGATGTTCTTCCCCGCCCATGTTTGTGCTAGCTAACATAGGAGAGTCACCTCTTTGACTGTGAGTATGAAGAGGGATGCTGATGCTGCAAGCCTTGAGGAGGGCACGAACCGCGAATCCAGGGCCCAATGGTTGGCAGTGATGGTCACCAATGTTCCGGTTGTGGAAGTTGTGCTCTGTCGAGTTGTGACTACAGGAACAGTTGACGACATCAAGTTTGCGATTGCTGATGACGTATGGCATCGCACCGGGCATGCTGTGAGAAAATCCAGTTTTCGTTTGGAGCTGCAAGGGCGACACGTGCCTTTCAGCATGAACCTCAGTGACTTACCTTTCACTCCGGGAGCTTGCTTGCACTTCGTTTTCCAACTCAGCCACTGACAGGACGAATACTTAGGCGGAACCTCTGAGCTTAGACGGTGCGAAAGTTTCACATACCCGACGGGGTTTTTCGTGTTTTTGTACCCAGGAGACAGAAGACCTGCATAATGGACAGGTGGTCGATTCTGTACCCTTCCTCGGAAAAAGAGCTTGAATGGAGTGACTAAAGGAAATGAATATTCGAGATGATGGAATACATTCATGGATGAATTTGGGAACAAAATAAGGGTCAATATTTGGCAAAGCAAAAAAACGACATAAAGAGTGGTGCCAAGTGTGTGTTTTCAGCTGCCATTTCTTGATCTTTAAAAAATTTGCACCAAAAGTTCGGTTCGAAGACAATTTTAAAAAGAGAAGGTGTGGGTCCCAAAAAGAGACAGCAAAAATCAAGCGAAAAGCAGAGAAAGTCTCATTTACAGGCGGTGGTGGTGTGGGTGTGTGTGTGTGTGTGTGTGTGTGGCTGTGGGATGTGGTGAGTGCAAAAAGGCAGAGGCTCAGGTAACTTCCGCAGCAAAGCCTTGGCAGGTCTGTGGTGTTGGTGTTGGTGAAGTCGGAGCATCAGTTGTGCACAGGTGGTGGTGGGTTGCACATTGTGCAGTGTTTGCAAGTGTGTGGAAATGTGTGATGTGGTGTGTGAGTGTGAGGTGAGACAGAATGGGTGGAGGTGTGCAAGCGAAAAACGCGAGGTGAGTTTGAATGAAGGGCAGCAATTCAAGTGTTTTTTGGGGGGGCTGCTTTTGAGCCCCAAAACTGTGTTTGAATTGGGGCCGCTTGAAAGGGCCTCCACAGTGCAGAACAAATTGCTGGACAACCTATAAAGAGAGCCATTTTTGTAAGCTGATCAAGGCATGGTCCTTACTTGTGCAGAGCACGGACGCAGCTAAAAACAGCAAGTTCTTGCCAAGCTGCTGATGGATAGAATGCAGCTCATGTGCAAGTGGTCATGACTCTGTGGAATGTGGTAAATTGGCTGAAAATTGGGATTCTTTATAAGATTTTGAGGGCCCAAAAATGAACCCCGAAAAATAGACACCAAAATGCCAAAATGCGTCACCAAAAATAGGCTCCGTAATTTGAGCTTGAGGTGGAGCCACGCAAGGCAAATTAGATCAGGGAGCCAAAAGTGATGCCAAAAAATGGGGCCTGTTTTTGGGCCCGGATTTTTGCAAGAAGGGGCCCAAAAAACGTCCCCGTTTTTGGGCCCCATTTTTCCGGCCCACAGTTCGGATGGGCATTGAACCTTGAGTGCAATGCTCATCAGTGTTGCTGGGCATTTTCGGTCACGCTGCCAGCGTTTCATCCTTGCTCAGACCTGGTAATCTTGAATGCAGACTCACTGCAGAGAAGTGCAGCCAACATGTGGCAGTGTGGCCCTGTAAGTTGCGTGAACTCAAGTAACAACGGCTTGCAACTGGCAACTGTGGAGGCCCGTTCTGCGGGACCGTTTCGTGTGGCTTTTTTGGGCTCAGAAATGGGCCCCGGAAAAGCCTCCCCTTGCACCCCCACGTCCGTGATTGATTTTGCTTGAAATAAGCATTTTTGAAAGTCTCTGACAGTGCCGTTTGGACAGAAATCAACTGCAGGACGAGACGAGTTCAGCTGTGGTGTTGATGCCGCAATGTTGCGCGCGACGCCCGAACCCAACCGTTCGAAATTTGCAAAGTGTCTTACCAAAATGTGAATAAGTGCGAGCGCAGCGAGCAAAACACCGGAGTGTATTCAACACAGAAACTCACTGACGTGCTGTTTTTGATGAGTTTTGAACATTTTGGGTTTGTTAATTTGCTTCCAGTCGCAATCATTCCTCTGACTTGCCGGTTGCAACTTTTGCGAGGCGTGACCTCTGGGGTGGCAACCTTTCAGGGAATAGGGTTGACCCAAAAGAAACCCTATTCCCGAAAAGTATACCAGTCCAGAGGCTGTACCAAATAAAATTTGCAAAATTTTACTTGGGTAACTTCTTGCATGGCAATCTGTGGAAGAGATTTTCTTAAAGATTTGTTTTATCTTGCCTGTTTCTGGTTTTTTGAAGGTTGCCTTTCTAAGTGCCTGGTGGTTTCGGTCGCTCTGGTGTGTTGGATCGAAGTAGTGAGACCTTTTGCTGGCAAATGTTAAAAGACCTTTTCCTTTTGAGTGCAACAATTTTGACTTGTTGCAGTGTCGGGTTAAGACCTGGACTTGCACACACCTCTTTACCTTCGAAAAAGGATTGTTTTTCACTTGGATCGGACCAAAGGCAGTGTGGTCTGGCTTGGCCTCAGCTCAAAACTTGTTAAAAAGCCAGGTCTTAAGCCATCCGATCCAAATTCAAAACAATCAATCGTCCAATGCCAGACCCAACACTGCTTCAAGTCAAAGTTTTGCACTTAAAGAAAGGGTCAATATTTGGCAAAGCAAAAAAACGACATAAAGAGTGGTGCCAAGTGTGTGTTTTCAGCTGCCATTTCTTGATCTTTAAAAAATTTGCACCAAAAGTTCGGTTCGAAGACAATTTTAAAAAGAGAAGGTATGGGTCCCAAAAAAAGAGACAGCAAAAATCAAGCGAAAAGCAGAGAAAGTCTCATTTACAGGCGGTGGTGGTGTGGGTGTGTGTGTGTGTGTGGCTGTGGGATGTGGTGAGTGCAAAAAGGCAGAGGCTCAGGTAACTTCCGCAGCAAAGCCTTGGCAGGTCTGTGGTGTTGGTGTTGGTGAAGTCGGAGCATCAGTTGTGCACAGGTGGTGGTGGGTTGCACATTGTGCAGTGTTTGCAAGTGTGTGGAAATGTGTGATGTGGTGTGTGAGTGTGAGGTGAGACAGAATGGGTGGAGGTGTGCAAGCGAAAAACGCGAGGTGAGTTTGAATGAAGGGCAGCAATTCAAGTGTTTTTTGGGGGGGCTGCTTTTGAGCCCCAAAACTGTGTTTGAATTGGGGCCGCTTGAAAGGGCCTCCACAGTGCAGAACAAATTGCTGGACAACCTATAAAGAGAGCCATTTTTGTAAGCTGATCAAGGCATGGTCCTTACTTGTGCAGAGCACGGAAGCAGCTAAAAACAGCAAGTTCTTGCCAAGCTGCTGATGGATAGAATGCAGCTCATGTGCAAGTGGTCATGACTCTGTGGAATGTGGTAAATTGGCTGAAAATTGGGATTCTTTATAAGATTTTGAGGGCCCAAAAATGAACCCCGAAAAATAGACACCAAAATGCCAAAATGCGTCACCAAAAATAGGCTCCGTAATTTGAGCTTGAGGTGGAGCCACGCAAGGCAAATTAGATCAGGGAGCCAAAAGTGATGCCAAAAAATGGGGCCTGTTTTTGGGCCCGGATTTTTGCAAGAAGGGGCCCAAAAAACGTCCCCGTTTTTGGGCCCCATTTTTCCGGCCCACAGTTCGGATGGGCATTGAACCTTGAGTGCAATGCTCATCAGTGTTGCTGGGCATTTTCGGTCACGCTGCCAGCGTTTCATCCTTGCTCAGACCTGGTAATCTTGAATGCAGACTCACTGCAGAGAAGTGCAGCCAACATGTGGCAGTGTGGCCCTGTAAGTTGCGTGAACTCAAGTAACAACGGCTTGCAACTGGCAACTGTGGAGGCCCGTTCTGCGGGACCGTTTCGTGTGGCTTTTTTGGGCTCAGAAATGGGCCCCGGAAAAGCCTCCCCTTGCACCCCCACGTCCGTGATTGATTTTGCTTGAAATAAGCATTTTTGAAAGTCTCTGACAGTGCCGTTTGGACAG